AAAAAAAAAAAAAAAAAAAAAAAGACCCAGCTGGACCCGACTCGACCCGATTTGGTTTGGGTCAATTTAGGGTAGGAACCGGGTCGCATCGGTTCGGGAAAGAATCCAAAATCGAGAATATCGGGTCGATTTCGGGCCAAACCCGGCGAGACCCGACCCAACCCAATGCCCACCTCTACCAAGTACGGATAATATATTTTTTTTTCTTAAATTTGATATTCCTGGGGGATTGTCCCAAACGGCGAATTGGATGAAAATTCTCATGTAATTGGCTACTAAAGCAAAAAAATGGTCCTCCCTCCCTTTAACAAATTTTGAATCGAAGTTTCTGATTCAAATCGGACTTTACAAGGCATGCACGTTTCTCTCATTTGCGGTCTAATAGTTCTAGTGCCCAAATTGATAACTTTGTTGATTCATTTGATCATTTGCTTTTAAGTTTTTGACGATATGTTCACTAAGAGCTTGTTTGGGAAGGATAAAAATCCAATTAAAATTGAAAATATAGTCGTTATAGGGTTCCACTCGTCTAATAAAAGTCAACTCCAACGACTATATTTTCAATTTTAATATAATTTTAGTCCCTCCCAAACAAGCTCTAAAGATTGCATGAATTATAAGTTTGAAATGTCCTCCAGTTAGATTTTTAGGGATTTGCATATAAGATATTAGAGTGATTACTAGGATTTGAAAAGTGAATCTTGTTGCATGTACATCAAAATTTAAATAACTATTTATGTAATACTTTATTGCACTCGACCATTTGCCAATTTAAAATACAATCAACTTTTTCATCCAATCATTTTCCCCTCCCTCCACATCATTTTCGGTATCCGTTTATGTATATTTTTTAGAGTAATTAGTACACAACGTTCCCATCTTTCATTGTTATTGTGAAAAACGTTCATACCTTTTTTTCGGCATTTTCGTCCTTATTTTCACATTTTATTGCGCAAAATGTCATTTTCATCTATTTTATCAATTAAAAATTGTGAAATGACAAATATACATTTTCTTTAAATGAAAGAACAATAAAAAAACTAATTGCAATTATAGTCCCAATTTTTTTTGAAAGATGCAAATAAGTCTCAAATAAATTACTAAAATGGTAATTAATATATAATGCCCCTATCTTTTACCTTTATTGCGAAAAACGTTCGTACGTTTTATTTTTTTGGCATTTTCCCATTAATTACACATTTGATTGTGCAAACCATCATTTTCATCAAATTTCTCAATAAATAACTGTGAAATAATAAATATACCATCATATTTAAATTAAAAATATATTTTTTAATTTTTAATTATTTAATAATTTATTTGGGACTCGTCTGCACTTTTTAATTTTTTAATTTTTAAATAAAAAAATTGGGATTATGGTTGCAATTAATTGTTTGACTTTTTTATTTAAATAGGAGGGTATATTTATCATTTCATAACTTTTATTGAGAAATTGGATGAAATTGGATAGAAATGATAGCTTGCGTAATCAAATGTGTAATTAAGGTGAAAATGCCAAAAAAATGTAGGGATTTTTTTTTTTTACAATAATGGTGAAATGTATAGACATTATGTGCTAATTACATTTTTCATAATTTATTTGAGACTCATTAGCGCTTTTTAAAAAAAATTGAGAATATGATTACAATTAATTTTTCTTTTTTTTTTCCTATTGTTTTATTTAAAGAGAATGGTATATTTGTCATTTTGTAATTTTTAATTGAAAAGTGGATGGAAATGACCTTTTTCACAATAAAAGGTGGAAATAAGGGTGAAAATGCTAAAAATGAAAGATAATGACGTTTTCCACACTAACAGTGATAGATGGGGACGTTACGTTCTAGTTACCCATATTTTTTATGTACAAGTAGCAAAATCTTTGAAAAGTATACTAACAATATTATGGTGTGGTTGTGAGCATATTTTAATCAAGTTGAGATTAAGGTCTTTTGTTTTATTAGTAATACTAGTTTTTCGCCCATGCAATGCATGAAATGTGTTATTTTGAAAGTAATGTTAGCATCTTGAATGCTAATGATTGACACACACGTGTATTCTAAAATTCCCCCACACATTTGTATAAAATAAATAATGTTTCATAAAGATGTAATAGTCAATCAAAAATAGAAACAAAGAGGGAGAAGCAAACACCGTATGGAGAAGTCATAAGGGGAAACTTCAAATTTACAAGAGGATTTCTGTCACAATTTGGAATACAAAATGTTTATGGCTTTGTGTCAGGAAAATCATTGACAAAGTGTAACATTTAGGAATAGAAGAGTAAGTTATGTTAGAGTTTTTCAAAACAATGACAATATAAATAATATATTTTTTTCATTTTTCATTGTTAAATATACCTGTCTGAAAAATGAATCCATGAATACAAATCTTAGAATCAGACCTCAGTATTCCAATGGTTTTGCACAAGTCTTTCCATCAGAATGATATGTTGACGCAATCTTAAAACTAAAAAAACAGAGGAAAAAATAATTCAAGTGGCTACATAATCATTAATTCTGGAATAAAACTTAATCAAGTTTCATTCCTAAAGTTTTACTGGGCCATCGGAATACCACCTTATTGTGCAAACTTCAATTTTAGCAGAAACCATTAGTTTGGAGATAATATATTTTTTCATAATTTATTTATTTGTTTATTGTTGTTATAGAAATGGTTTGCCACTACGAAACGAAGATCGACCTGTCCGGTCTGGTCGCAAGAGTCGAGGGGGCTGGGGGACAACGCCCCCAAAAAGAATTATGATTTTCATGTATGTGTTGAATATGTACTTTCTACACAAATCATTAAAAAAACATAATGTATGTATGTTAATAATATAATTTATTTATAAGTAAATCTAATTTAAATTTCAACCTATTTTAATATAAATAGAAACATTATATAGCACACATGGGGATGGATTAAAAAAAAATACACAGTGGCACACATGACGTATTAGCTTATTATTTGAGGCAACCGAATTACATAAAAGTAATGCTTCAAATAATAAGCTACGTGTATCTTACTAAATGACTAATATAAGAGCGTCACTCAAGATATAAAATTTACATTTAGGCTTTCTTTTGTCAAATAAAATTTTAAAAATAATTTTATTAATAAAATCATTATTTTTTCAAGAAGTTACTCATACCGTTTAGAATAAAGCACATTATGAAAGGAAGTCCTCGATGAATAGTTCATCGAGTGAGTTGAGTTTACAAAGATTAAAACAAGCTAAACTATAAATGTTTATAAATTTATTTTTTTATGATTTCGATTGTTTGAGAAGAGATTTTTTTAATGTAATTTTTAAGAAAATACGTGATTAATAAAATAGAAAAAATTAGATTTCTGTAAAATTATTTTATTTAAAAAATATAAAGTTGAAAATGAGCTTGGAAATATATCTTGAAAATATCAATATGTGCTGAATGCCAACTTTGACCAACCAGAATTTCTGTAACGCCATTATTAGATATCCTTAAATAGACGCTGCAATCTCACTTGGAAGAACACCAACTTTGACCAGCCATACTTTCTGTAAGGCCATTGTTAGATATCCTTAAATAGACCCTGCAATCTCACTTGGAATTGCAATACAAATTATATACCAATGGCTTCTTTTTTCAACTACTATGTTTTCTTCTTTGCCATTCTTTTATCTACTTCCTCTGCTCAAAATGGCCTAATCCTTCCCATTAGAAAGGATACCAATACCTTACAACATTACACCTCAATACAAATGGGAAGCAACCGTGCCATGATTAACACAGTAATCCATCTTGCAGAACAATTCTTGTGGTTTGAGTGCGATAATTATACCTCATCCACCTACGCTCCGATACCTTGTGACACACAAAAATGTAAAATAGCTAAGGGGTCTGGATGCCAGGTGGAATGTCACGGACCTCAGCGCCCTGGCTGCACCAACAACACCTGTGGTGCCTCTACTTTTAACCCATTCGAGAGTTTTATTCATGGTGGAACTTTTGGAGAGGACACATTATACTCCAAAGATCATATGGGGGTGCCCCAATTTTCCTTTGCTTGTACTAACTCAGATTACAAGAAGGGTCTAGCCAGTGGTACTACTGGGATACTAGGACTCGCAAGGACTCAAATTTCATTGCACAAACAGATTGCAAATAAGCTCAATTTACCAGAAAAGTTCTCTCTATGCCTTCCATCTTCAGGACTCGGGAAATTGTATGTTGGTGGAGGATCATCAAGCAAATCAGACGTGTCGAAATCACTCATCACAACACCCCTCATCATAAACCCTGTAAGTACTGGACCTGCTTCTTTTGTCCAGGGTGAACCTTCTGATGAATATTTTATAAATGTACAGTCCATCAAAGTCCAAGGAGAACCTCTTTCTGTCAAAAGTTCTTACTTTATCATTGACAAAGATGGCGTTGGAGGCACCAAAATAAGTACCATTAACAATTTTACTTCACTGCATTCTTCCATCTACAAACCTTTAACCAGGGCTTTCATCAAGGCAGCGTCTGATATGAAGATCAAAAGCATCAGCGCAGTAGCGCCATTTAGAGCATGTTTCAGATCCTCCACCATTTCCATCACTGCCACCGGTCCTTCTGTTCCAACAATTGAACTAGTTTTACCCGGGAATGATGTTTCTTGGAAGATATATGGTGCCAATTCAATGTTTCCAGTCAATAAGAACGTTATGTGCCTTGCATTTGTGGATGGAGGGTCGAGTCCAAGAACCTCAATTTTTCCAAGTACCTCAATTATCATAGGGACATATCAGTTAGAGGATAATTTGCTTGAGTTTGATCTTGTCTTGTCACAATTTCGCTTTAGCTCTTCACTTTTAGTCCAGAACAAGACTTGTTCCCGCCTTTAAGATGATCAAATGTTGTCTTGACAGATTTGCATAGTTCGTTTTCCAAAAATATTGTGTTTTAATTATACGCTAGAAAATAATTGTATCTAATCAAACAAGTCACTGTTTAACTACATACATATGTCCTCATAAATAACAGAAATATAATTTATTAGTATTATATTTTCATAATCCGTTTCACTACAAGAATGCCAACGAAAATCCATTACAATAATCTAACATAGTATTGCGACATATTAGTGACAATTTAGTTGTCTGTTACTAGTATGCCTCCTTCACGCAATTCCGCAGATGCCAGAAAAAGGCAGTCACAAATACCCCTATATCAATTTATTACAGTTTATTGTCCATCATCGAGATTCTTCACCAAGTCCTTCGAATCTTTTGGTGACGAGTTTTTAAATAGAAACGTTTGTTACAAAAAGAGCTAAAGATTTGGCGATGAATGCTGCTCCTTTCCTATTGCTGGTTATCGATAAGTGGATAGGCTTAGGCATAACTCATTTGGCACAACTACTACAAAGATTATGGTTCAACAATTGCTTCAGCCAGTGGAAAAAGATAAGCTGACAGGTTTTGTTATTCCCCTTTCTGGTTGTTCAAAAATTAAATGTGGAGGTTGCAGCCTGAGGACGCCAACGTTGATTAATCAAAATGTCTGTGATGCCATTGCTGAATATCAATAAATAGACCTTCAGTCTCACTTGGAATATCCAATAATCATATTCCAATGACCTGTTCTATCAACTATTCCTTTCATGTTTGTGTTCATTAGGTGATTCATATTTTTGTATATGGAGCTAGCACCCGTAAGATTTCAAAATAGATCTCCAAATTTGCTTATTTAAGTTATTTCTATACAATTATACTGTGAAGAAAATACAGCCAACTTTGCACCAAGAACCACGCTCAGTATTGATCATTCGACACCACAATGAGAAAACCCAAACCACAAGCCAACGCAAACCAGTTGCTCAAAGTTTCTGCTCACAAACATGGACTGAGAATGGAGGTTATAATAGCCACAAAAAACAGCCACCAAGGCTGAAGAAAGGTAAGAGAAAAATAGCACAGTAGAGAGCACAAAGCAAGAGGCAGAGATCACAAAGCAAAGCCAAGAAATCGCCGCTATTTCTTCTCAAGTAAAAGGCTAAATTATTTTCCTCCATTCTCAGTCCTTGTTTGTGGACAGAAACTTTGAGCAACCGGTTTGCGTTGGCTTGTGGTTTGGGTTTTCTCTTTGTAATGTTGATTGATCAATACTGAGCCCAGTTATTGGTGCAAAGTTGGCTGTATTTTCTTAACATCTGGTATCAGAGCCATATTTGGTGTCAATCCAGGCGAGATCAACGGAGGAAAAGAACTCCTGAATCGTGCAGACGTGATTCCTTTGAGAAAACCGCAGCTGTTTTCTTTGATTCCGGCCAAACCCTTGGCCTGCTGGAAATTCTGACCACAGGCCCGTGACCAGCAGATCAAGGCGCACCTGGTGGTGGTGCGCATGTCCTCCGGCGGCGGTGCTTGGGCAGGTGTTCCAACCAGAATTTTTTGAGCAGTTTGTTTATTTTACTCTCCTGAACGTACTAATAGTGTTATTTTAGTGTTTCAGGATTTGCAGGGAATTTTGGACAATTCTGCCATTTTGGTGACTAATACAGATTCGAGGCTGTAACTGTACAATACATTTACTAAATTACTTTAGGCCATAAATTGCGGCCTAAAGAGTAAATTCGCAACTCTCGTAAATTAAGGATTCAGACACATCCGTTCTGGAAATTAGTTGATCCTCTTTTAATTTCAACACTAGCGCGCCATCGTGTGGGGTGGTTTTCTAGCGAGTCTTCAGGCAGTTTTTCAGGGACATCGAGACGGACCCTGCGGTGTTATCGAATTTCAATTTCGGGCAATACGGTGAAAGTTGGACGATTTTGCCTTGGATGTTCGGGTGCCGGATGCCCTTCGTGTTGACGGAAGCTTTGGGGCGGATTGCGGTAGTCCTAAAGTAGTGAATTTGCAACTCTGATATTTTTGGACCTTCAGACGTGGTCCGCTCGGTATCGTGTTCTTTACCTTTTATTAAAGCAGTTAAATTTAATGTGTAGGACTATTTATTATTCGCATTAGAAGTCATCGTGTGGGGGTGACGTTAGGTTTGGGGTTACCGTGAAGGGGTAATCATTGCCTGTTGCTAGACCTAGGAATTACTTGTTAATTATTTGCCTTAAATTCTTTGTGAATTTGTTGCCAATTAAATTTTTTCATTATTAGAATTGCACGTGATCTTAGGAAAGTTTACTTGACTATTCTATGTGAATTGTATTGGTACTTTACTTGTGGTCGTGGTTGGTCGTTTTTGTGTTCTATGCATTTATTTTTTTTGGGTAAAATGACGACACATTATGAGTTATGCATGTTTTAATGAAAATTGTGATTTTTTAATTTGGTAAAGCGAAAATGTTTTTCATAAAACTTTTTGATGACAAATGTGGTCTAAGGCAAGTGCGAAANTTAGGAAAGTTTACTTAACTATTCTGTGTGAATTGTGTCGGTACTTTACTTATGGTCGTTGTTGATTGCATTTTGTGTTCTGTGCATTTTTTGCGTAAAATGACGACACATTATGAGTTATGCATATTTTAATGAAAATTGTGGTTTTTCTTTTAATTTGGCAAAACGAAAATATTTTTTTTATAAAACATTTTGATGGCAAATGTGGTCTAAGGCAAGTGCAAAAACTAAGATGTGTTTTAACTGCGGTAATTTGGACATGGTTGAAATAGACCGTCCTATGAATGATAATAAAAGGGAATATTAGGAGAGTGGTGAGGCAAATTCTGTCATTGGGTCGAGTGATGACCTATGTGAGGTTTATTGAGAGTAAACTTAGTTACTGCACGAGCATCTGTGTGTGACCTTTCTGCACGTATGATCACTTAATTATGTTATATAGTGATATATTACACTTTCAATATGTTTCATGTGTGTAATGACATGAATTAAAGTGATCTTATTACTTTGTGTAAGGTGTTTGCATGCATATTTGGGTTGATATCTATGGCGTACTCTGTTTT